TAATTGCTAAAATTACATTTTTAGACCGTGTGTTAAATATTTTGCTGGTAAAGTACATTAAGTATAGACATAATTAATTCATTTGCAAGATTTCATCAGGTTCGCAGCACTTTTCAAATATCTTAATACTTCTTGAGTTTATGTGTAAAAGCTTGTCATAATTCATTGAGGGTATGCCCTTGCAATATATCGATTTATTACGACCCTTCTATATTACCCTTCAATGAATCTGCATACAAATATACGGCAGTATCGCTTGTCTAGGGAATGTACGGAAAGTATATGAATAGAATCATAAAATAGACATTGCATCCATGCTAATGGTCTGCAAATATATCTGTTATATCTGCAAATAATATTTTATTTAATTGCAAAATACATTTTTCATTGTATAAAATATTACTTGAACCGCCTCTCACTGCATAGAAACTGCGTCAAATTTTACGATATGACGTCACATTGACAAGTGCATTGCGATCTGTGAATTGTTTATATATTTCTGTGTGGGATTTAACCAACGACAAAAATACATGCATTAGCAAGTATTGATGTAGTTTAGAGCTATCCAACAGTTTAAAATAGCAAATCATTTAATTTTGTGGTAATTTGAAGAACTTGTATTTTTGTGTGATGTCATAATAAGCATGTCCAGTATAAGTTAGGCCCCGCCTCCTTATTGTAGCCTTAAGGTATCCGACCCATAATAGCCTCAGATTCAGTGAATATGAATGTATAATAGATATATATTGGCTGAATACTCAGTATATGTAGACATAATCTTCATGTATTAGTATCAATATGTAAGAGCGGAACGTGTTCTGATTTTTGACCTTGTCCTGTCCTTGAAGAGTTATCCCCCTTTGCTTTTAATCAATAAATATCAATTCTAAAAAAATATCTATCTGGTAAAACTTAAGTTATCAATCGCTTTTCTATTTTTATAAATAAATACATCTTTCCACCTCATCATTTTTTGATACTCTTAGTATTTAAAGAAGAAGGCATGGTTTTAGCTTTATTGTGCCCTAAAAAATTAATGTTTTCAAAAAGTTTTGAAACTGGCTTAAATATAAGTTGAGTATATGACTGTAATAAATCAGGAAAGAATATAGCATGATGGAGTACCATTCTTGATATATGACGCCATTAATTTGATGCATTTCTCTATTTTAAACAGAAAAAGCCTCAAAATGACCCATTTCAAGGATTATTTTCCTTAAGAAAATAGTGTCCACAGCCGTTGCCCACGTTAATTTTTAGATATGTTGTGTAAAATTCTTTGAAAAATCACATATCTCAAAATCTTTGTGGGCGATGCCTGTGGACAATATTATCTGAAAGAAAATTCCATCGAAAATTGATGTCTTCTGCAACTTTTTAAGAAAATACGGGAAAATGCACAAGTTTATGGCGTCACAATTAGCAATTGGAAGGTCATGTGAGAAAAAAGATTTGTATGATCTTTCTGCATGGAATTTCAATAATTCAAAAAGCATGAGTTTTAATTTTTTACATCACTTTTATTTTTAAGAAAAGCACAGGGCAAGATTTGTATTGAAACCGTACCTTGTTCTTTTTATTTTCAAAAAATTTGCTTGTCCCCATAGACATAAATGCAATCTTCATTAATTAATTACTGCTTAGGTAATTATATTTTTGAAAATTTCTCTTGGTAAATCCTTTACTACTCTAAAATGCTTTGAATTAATATCAGAGTATTTAATACAGGATGGATATTTAAGGTTAGAAAATTAGGTCCTAATTATATAATAATATATTGTTTCTTGTAAGCACCGCTATGCGCAATCCGAACAATGTCCATATAAGGTAGATTCCTCGACTTGTTAGAGGCTTGACAAGCTATATACCAGATCATTTTTCTTTCTCAACAGAATAAATAAATGCATAAATGTATATCTCCCATTCAAAGAAGCGGGGCACATTTCTTGAATGATTAATGGGTAAAGCAATTGTTAAAAAGCTCAAAAGGTCAAAGGTCACCCGGTTCACTGCTATATCCAACTTTTATTGCCTCCAGCAAATATCTCAAAAAGTTGCTTTACTCGCTTGATAGTCTTTTAATACCTTAATTAATAAAAATGATACATGTATAACTAACAACTGACTTTAGATCAAAGGATGAATGTCACTGACAAGTAGTATTCTGCTGTACTGCTAACTGAAAAGATATAATTAAGAATTTGGTATACTTTACAGTAATTAAAATTTAAAGACAGTTAATTTGTATCAATTTAATGACCCTAATTAGTGATTTTCAGGTCAAAGTTAAGCAGGTTCTCTGCTACATTTATACATGTATAGCAATTCCATTTGATCCCCCAGTAGTATCTCAAAAACATCTTGCTTGATAGAATTTGCAGAGGCAGGTTTGGATTAATATTGAATACACTTTATTTAATAAATGGCTAAGGTTCAAGCATTTTTTCAGCATTTTAGAGTAACATATGCCACACAGCAAGTATTTTTATAAAGTTAATCAATCTATTTATCAATGCATTAAAAATTAGGATGCAAATTTTGAAATGAAATTTTCTTGCAGTTGTATGTAGCAGTAGAAATGGTAAACTGTGAAATAATATTGTATTGTACATAATATTCACCATTGTTTTCAATCTAATTCCCCCACAGAGCACCTTTTGAATTGCCTTTAAGCATCAGGAAGGAATTATTTTAAGATATAGTATGTTTTTCAGCCACATTAATAAGGTCTCTCTATGATTCTTTCTCTGATACAAAATATTTTAAACTGGTAAGAATTGGCTACAGTCGAACAAATAAATGAAACAAATTCCTGTAAGAGAAGAAAAAATCCTAAAGGAATTTAAAATTTCCTACAGGATATTTTCTCCCTTAGGAGCAAGGATAAATTTCAAAAGGGATGAAATATTCCTATAGGAATTTCTCACTGAAAAAGAAATCCTATAGGAATTTGAGAAATTCTAAGGGAAACATCTTTCCTAAGGGATTTTTTCTTTCTCCTATAGGAAATAACATTCCTACAGGAGATTAAATTCTCACATAGTAAATTAATTTCCTGCCAGAATTCTGAAATATTCTGCAGGAAATGATTGAATCCTGTAGGATTTTGATAATATCCCTCAGGAATATTTATTTTCCTATAGGAACTTTATTTTTCCCATGGGAATTTCCTTTTCAAAGGTGATTATCTCTCCTGACAGGTGAGCTGTACCTGTAACAAAGGTAGTTTTTAACTCTCTAAGTGATGGTCTACCTCATGGTATATATGAATTTTATGTAAACCAAACCTTTGGCGGGCGCCGATTTGCCACTTTGGAAGTGGCAGATTTATTCGGGCACAGTGTTAAATATCATATTTTCATTTTATTTTAATTCTCGTATGTTCCATGATTAAACAAAAGGACTACCTTTTAGTATTATTAATATTATTATTAGATTATTTATTATTATTATTATTATTATTGAAAATTAGTTTCAAAGAAAGTGGCTCCCATCAGCCACGTACCTCGAATCACTTTGACACTAATTAATGTGTGATACGAGGTATATGATTTTTCAAGTTTCGTTTTTGAACTAGCTGCAAATCTGTTATCATCAGGAGACTTTTTGCACATCCGTTGTACAATTTGTTTTTTAAATAGTGAGGAAAAGGGCATATCACTCAGAAAACTTAGAAATGAAAAAAAAATCAGTAGCATTTTTGAAAATAATGAAGAATGGGGGTTGATCACCCTATTTGAATTAATGCTAGTTTTTTTTTTCTCTCATTGACTTTTCCGATACGAAGTCAAAGCAACATGCATTTGGCATGGAATTCTCTGATATTTGTGCAAATCAATATATTCTTTTTTAAATTCCTTAAATTATGCCTGCAACAAAACTTATTTTAGAACATTATTTTAAGAATAATGTAATAGATGCTATTTTCAATTTTATTTACATTTTTTTTTAAACACAAGATAGGTCCTTTAAGAGTTTTTCACTGATGAAAAAATTTACATTCCTAACAAAAAAAGACTTCATGTGCAACTGCTATATTGTTCATCAAATCTTTGCCTGAAATAGGTTTAACTGTATATAATATCGAATGGTTTATGAGTTATCTTTAAGGTGAACCGAAAGGAGTCGTTTGCAGAAATTAAAGCTCTTCTTGGACGGTTCCAAAACAAATACTTTTCACTTAAAATCAAAAGATTGTATTTTGGACAGGATGTGAAAAAACAGCAGCGTGTCATCGCTGTTGTTATTGACAGTGAAATGAGTATAGAAGATTACTTTGAAGGATACCCCGTGATTTGTAGAAGATGGAAAGATAGACTATATGAAAGTACGCATGTACTTTTTTCTAGACAGGCTATTGACAACCCATTAAAGGATGAAAAGATAATTTCGAAGATTGAGCTTGTTATACAAAAGTACAGTAAAAAGCTAATGCGAGATCATTCAAATTTAGAAATTATTAGTGCTTCTCCCGTGCATTCAAAGAAAATGGGTTCTGAAATTATAATTAAGGAATGTATTGTTCTGTACTGTTCACACAAAGGATTCATACCTTTTGGAGAGGAAGAATTTCCCAGAAAACTTGAACGAATAAATATTGATGTTAGAGAGGGATTCTTTTATTTAAGTCCAATGGATGGTGATGAATTTTTTAGAGGTTCAAAAGTGATACATAGTCATTTGCGGATGGGCTGTAATATAGGAAGAGAAGGTAATGTTTGAAAAGAGAAATTATGTTTTCTTTTACAAATTTAATTCAAAATGTTTTTCAATCACGGATAGTATACATGAGAAATCAAAGACGTTAACAAATTGTTGGTGATTCACAGGACTAACAAAAACTGGTACCCTTGGGGGATTTGTGGAGATTGGTAATGGAGAAATAGGTTTCATCACTTGTGCACACGTTCTTCATTCTTCACTTCCTTTAAATAATCATCAAAAGAAGAGACGTTTTCGGTAGTACAACCTGGATATGGCATCTCATTAACAAATAACAGATGTGGTGTTCACGTGCAATCTGTATGTCCAACAAGCACACAGACTCAACCTCAAAATACAACTGTGGATGCTGCTCTTGTCAAAATATCTAGTGGACGCCAGCCAGAAAGAGGGTTTTTTGCTGGTCTTTCGGTTGAGGACTTGGAAAATAAAGGTAAGAGATTAAGAAAATATGATACGAAATGATCTCTCTTTCTTTTTTCTCTCTAAAATATATGGCCAAAAATAAGTTTCTTAGAGAAAAAAATTTTAATATGCGAGAAGACTGAAATTGCCTTTACATCATTTATGAACTTAAAGGTAGACAAGGGACACGATCCTATAAACACTTATTTCTAAATTTAAAAGAAAAGTAGTTATTCTTACAGAAAAAAAGAGATAATCATTTTTCATGTTATGATACCAATATGTTTTACTAATTAACTATCAAACGAATATCCAAATTCTAAATTACATTTGTATTAGGAATTTGACAATTAAGTTGTCAATTGTAAAACTGAGAAAATCACTTGCAAGTTCAAAAAAAATTTCAAAGCAAATGAAACCATGAATTTGAAAACCTCCTTCACAAATTCCGTAAAAAAAACTTTTGGAATTATAATGAAACAATTGCACCAAATTGAGGATTCTGATTACAATCCTGACTACAATTCTTGACTGATTTAGATTTCCAAGCTCTTAAAAACTCAACAAAAAGTATTCAAGCCCTATGATAAAAGTTTTATTAAAATTCAAAGTGCTTAACAAGAAATATATTTTTCACAACTTATACAAATTTGCACGTGATATCACTAAGAACGGTTAAAAAAAAAAATATGCATTGCATTAAACTCTTGGCAAGTATTAATATTATATGTACAATTTGAGATATGGCTTCTAAAGCATACAGAATCATCATATGATCTTATTCGGGGATTCTACCTACCAACAGGTTGTATATGCAAGGAGTATCAGTGAATCGATAATAGAATATGTAAAATGCTGACTTGAAACAAAATCAAATATGCTTATCTTTACATAGCGATAAAACGCCTCAAGATTTAAGGGAGAAAACTCGGATTCCTTCGCAAAACTCGGATCCCATTCAACATCGATCATTAGAGATTTCTGCATTATCCTAAGATGATTTCTTTTAACTGAATTGGACAGACAGGTAGCAACAAGCTGACAGACAGACATAATTTATTGAATTAGACCCCCTTTCAACTCCTATGCAGTAAGAAGACTCAAAGTATTGTACTATGTAGTTTTTGATGTTTTCAGGATTTAGTAAAAACAATCCCCCAGAATATAAAAGTGGGGAGATAAGAGATCTTCGAGGACAATTATCAGGATTGCACAGATTCAAAACCTGTATAAAAGTTGGATCATCATCGGGTTTAACAAAAGGAGTGCTGCATTTGAATTCCGCTTGTGTAAGACGTCAATCATACACCCTTACAGGCCAAACTCAAAACGTTGTAATTCACAATCAACTCGAAATTTGTCCGCAGGCGGACCACTTTTTTGCAACAAGTGGCGATTCGGGTGCTCTTGTTTTCCAAATCGAGCCAGGCATTTCTTCGGCTGATGATAAGTTGATTTGCATTGGGATGATCATTGGCGTAAACAGTTATGGGTATTGCTTAGCAACTCCCATAAATGAGGTTCTAGAACGCTTGCCAATTTCAAATAAAAGCAAACTTTATGCCTTCAGAGAGGAGGCCATGAACCAATGAAGTGTCAGATACATTTGGATTTTTTTTTTTACATGTATCCCTGTAGCTATCCATTAATTTTCATCAAAAACAGAAATATTGATTTTGGAGTGTAAAAGTATGATGTCTTTTGCATATTACGTAGCAAAATTGATTCCCTATGCCTAGGTTAGGGTCATTTATAGGATATGTTTGTATTAGATATCTGTGAAAGTTATTAACTAACTTTGTAAACCGACTTTAATGTATACATATTGTGGAACATAAATTGATGTCACTCTCTGTTGTTGGTTTTAATATCTTTATTTATACTTTGTTCATTCACAATACATGTGCATTACATGACTGAAAAACATATATCAATGAGTATCCGGCATAAGTCCTTGTCGCCGTTTTCCTAAAACCTCTGGGCAGAGAATTTGAAAATATAAGTATATAGTTAACTACAGAGATAAGGACAACAGCTGTATAAATTCCATTGAAGTTGAGAGTTCGTTAGCAGACACCAATCAAAAACCTTACCAAGCGCCTGACATTAAAAGTGAAATTGACACGGGTCTTTTGGATGAAACCTTAAAAGTCAATGTGCTGTGTCATGGTAGGCGTAGGCACAATAACGAACCTCGTTGCTCAATGGCCCTCAATAGCGAGCAAAGCAACTGAAGCCCTTCAAAGGTTCTGATGACGTCTCGCATAAGTGACCAAAATCTCTCAACGGACGTAAATAAAGAAAGCAAACAAAGAATCAATCACAAAAACATTTTTTTGGATAACAATTTAATGGATTTGCATACTTGAGATGGTTCTTAAGGTATTCAATGTATAACGACCATATGTTGTACCTAATAAATGAATGGTCCGATATTTTTAAGCAAGTTAGCATTTTGAAGGTGTTATGAAATAAAATACTCTACCAAGGGAATTTACAAAATTTTGATTACTGTCCAATTAATTTCACCTTGAATTTTAAATTGAGGTCTATGGGCAGTGCATGTTTTATTTAGATATTGTAAAAAGTAATTTGAACTTCATACAAATCTCTGGGTGGAAATATGCATAAACTCTCTCTTTATTGAAATATGAAATAAAATAGATCATCTACCACAGATATTTTGACAAAATTAAAATTTTCTACTTTTCATCAAGGGCAGATAACTCTTGAAAAATGTTTAAGGTGCAAAATGACTGCCTTCTAATATGTTATCAGCCAATGTTATCAGAATTTGGTTCATTTTACTTTCATCATTATCTAGCAATGCATATTTAACTAGTTTAAAATGATTCAAAATTGTTCAAAATTCCTTCATTATACATTGAATACCTTAAAGTATGTTTATCTTGAGGACAAGATTTATTTAATGGGCCTCAACTGTTTTTATACATTTAAAACCAAGCCCTTGCTACCTAAATTTAGAAGCCCCAGGAGTCTAAAATTGTCTAAAAAATGTTAAAGAAAGTTCACATTAGTCTTCAATTGTTTAGCAATTATACCAAAAACGTCAGAAAGAAAATCATGACACCCTTCTAGCTCATAAGAATAAGCCATATAAGATCCATTGCATAATGTGTACATGTAAAGGCTCGATACATGTCTGAAAAAAATCAGTTTTAATACCATTAACGTTTCATTAGGAAATAAATCATATGTCGGGAAAGTTCATTAAGCTTTAAAATATGTACACAAAAGAAATTTAATTCCGATTGGGCAATGAACTAGTTTGGCGCGATCTGGGATTTAGAGAAGAAATGTATAAAGTACATCAGAACTTACATATGGTGAGAATTAGAAGAGTGAAGTACAGAACAGACATCAAAAGCTGCCAAACAGAAGTTCTTAATTGTAGCGTAAAAGACATTAAAAAAAGAAACGTCGAAATTTAATTTGGCTTTTATGGAGATATAATTTAGTTGTTTAGGTTTCTTCTTTGTTTTTGTCTTTGCATAGGCATACTAAGCCATAATAATAAAAAAAAAAACAAATATTTCATTGATAATTGTAATTATTACACGTAATTTAGGTTATAACTTTTTCTCATTTGTTATTTGTGACTGTTTATGCTGATTTAACGGTCGCAAACTGAGTTTTACCGGCGTAAGCGGAGCCGGTAAAACGGATGTTTGCGACCGTTAAATCATCATTAACGGTCGCAACTTTACAATACTTTATTAAAGTGAAAGGAAACACCGATAATCCTGCTCATGACTGTGGTTTTTATCCACGAAATGCACATTTATATGGTAAAAACAAGAAGTGCATAAAACCACTTTGTTTCCGATTTAAAACTCGTATTAGAGATTCTGAACTGCCATTGGATATTGTTAAACCTTCTACTCTTTCTGAAATACCACCAAGGAAATTAATTAAACCAGTAATGAATTTTAATCTAAACATTCTACAAGAGAAATTTACACAGATGGTTCTAAGGACAGAGGTAGGGTTGCTGCCGCTGCAGTGGTCAAAAATGATGTTTTTTTTTTTTTCTGCACGACTTCCGAACGAAGCAACAATTTTTACGGCCGAAGTAAAAGCTATACAACTTGCTTTTGAATATATTAAAACTTCTAGTGAAAATTCATTTACAATATTTTCAGACTCGGTCTCATGTTTAGAGTCCATACACAATATGAACACAGATCATCTATACATTTTGGATATATTAACTACGTTCTATCATCTTACTCAACAAAATAAAGAAGTCGAAGTAATAACAAGGTCAATTGTTCTGCAAAAACTGCTCTTCAATATGGAATTGTACCTTTTATAATTCCTTACACTGATTTTAAGTACTTAGTGAAACTTTACTTAAATTCTCTTTGGCAAATATTTTGGGATTTTTGTGAATAGAATAAACTGTAAATAAACTGTATACCATACAAAACAAAGTTAATCAATCATCTGACTTCGGCCTGAAACGTCAGGAACGTCAAGAATAAGAATTGGACATTCAAGTTTTACCCATTCATATTTACTGATCGGGGAACATCAACCTGAATGCGTATCTTGTGACTGTATAATAACTTTAAACCATATACTTTTAGAATGTTCTGATTTTACGCCTGTTCGAAATTAATTTTTTAATGATGTGCAAACAATGCATGATCTTTTTACAAATGTAAGTCCTAGTGCAATTTTACAATACTTGCAAGAAACTGATTTTTACAATAAGATTTAAATGTATATATTTTTGCTAGCATTTTTGTAATTTTCAATGTAGTTGTTTTTATTTTTGAATTCCAAGTCCGTCGAATCTAACGTAAAACGGTGCCCCGTGTCAAGGATTACAACCCCCTTGGCACGCTAAAGATCGTTTCTCTGGTTTTCGATAAAGAGTAAGCTCATTGTGGACCGCCAGAGAAACCCAAATACTTTCAAAACCTTTCATACAGTATTTAAATTCATATCGCCGAAATATGGCTGAAATATTGCCGACTCGATGTAAAACAACAATAATTAATCATTTACGGTCTCAAAGAACAAATGAGTACTAGACAGTTATTCTAATGCAATTCATGCATTTTGTTTTTTTAATGTTTACGTCTTATTTTGTTGAGTTGTGTTACATGAAATACGTCCCGAAGCATTGTGTTTTTGCGTCGTTCTATTATGACATCACAATCAAAAGCTTTCATTCTCGTAAATGCTTGTTTAACTTCCTGAAATATCATTGTATAATCCAATCAAAATGTATTTTACAAAGCGGTTGCATTATAGAATGGATACTTGTCTTAAAATAACCGTCACGTCTAATTCTACTTAATACATGCAATAATATTTGTGAAATTACTATGTTACTTGTTACGATAACATGCCTGAAGTATGCAGTCCTTCAGTTTTAGCTTAAATATATTTACTCTCGTCGTGTGTTTTTCTTTTTATCTTTCGATTTGTTTCTAATAAACAGTTCTGGTAGATTTGCACTGCTTTTCTTTTACAATTTACTAAAACATAATGTGCACACAACTTATGTACAACAAAGACATGCATGAATTAACATGCTTAGCATTTTTTTTTTTTATGTAAAAGTTGTATATCAATAATAAGAGCATTTCAAAAAATAGTATTTCTAGGATCCTTGGCATTACACATTATTTTTATGTCACCAAGGACGAAATAGGGGAGACATATTGCTATTATTCCACTAATAACGCTGTCCGCACAATTTCTCAAAGATGGCTTCCTCAATCTTGATGAAACTCCACTGTCATAATGATCACTAATTGAGGATGTGGAATCTTTCTTCGAAATTTTCAAAATGACCACTGTTGCAATGGAAACTGATAAAAAGTGGTATTTTTTAAATTTCATCTTTCTCGGCTGCTTTTAATTAAATCTTTTTGAAACTTTAAAGAAGTTTTTCCTTGCCTCCTGTCAAAAAAATTCGGCAATAAAAAATTGGAAAAGGGTAGACGAAAATTACGATTAAGTGAAGACAAGTTGATGTCACGTGACCAATTTGGTGTTTAAATTGCTAATGATTCCGTCGTGCAAGTTTCTCGAAAATGGCATGGACAAACGTACTGAAACTTTACAGATAAGATAATCACCACATGTAGATGTGCTAAAGCCCTTTAAAATTTTCAAATTTGTCACTGTTGCCTATTAACAGACACAAAGTCATATTTTTTAAATTTCATTTTTTTCTATAATTTTTCATAAAATCTGTCTTATAACATCAATGAGTTGTTAGTCGCATCCTATCAAAGTGATTTCTGCAAAATAATGGAACATAATCGACAAAAAGAACGAATAATTTGAAACAAGATGAAGTCGAGTCATCTATTTCGCGATGTTTCCACACATGGTTTTGTCCTTGAATGTTTTCCTAGAAGGCTTTGACAATTTTATTCAAACCTTCCACAGAAATAATAATCACTATTCGTAGTTTGCAAATCTCATTTTAAATTTTCTCTAACGCTGCCATAAGAAAAGAAAAAATAATTTAAGTGCAGTTTCCTCAAACAAGTGCCCAAAAAATGTTTTGTAAACGTTTATTTTTCATCCTTTTAAAATTGTGATTTAT